CTGATTTTAACCCAACACAGAACCAAGCAGCCCTGCAGGGAGTCCCCTCCTCAACAAGGTTTGGAAAACCCAAGAACCCAAAATGCTCTTGGAAGATGCCTGGGATATCAGTTCTTGTTAAAAGACATGGCCTGTCCAGCTCCTCAGGATTCTCCTGGAGAACGGAGTGGCAAGGAGCAGATGGAGAAGAGCCACCACATGGGCAGTCTAAAGCCATGAGGGTCACCAAATCCACATCACTGTGAAAAATGGCCACTCCATCCCACCTGGGATGGCTAAAAGGGGTCTCCTCGTTGTGGGGTTGGAGGATTTTTAATTTTTGTGGGTTTTGGGGAAGGTTTTGTTGTTTGGTTGGTTTTACAAACACAACTGCTACACACCCTGAGCTTCCCCTGTCCTTCACTGGTACTGCCAGTGGGTTGGACAGGGTTTATTTTGTTCCAGTGTGTTGCAGTGGAATGTAATTCTTCCAGTGTGCTGGCCCAGTTTAGTGTTTTCCCTGTAAGAGCCACCACATTCCCAGGAGACTACAAAACAACAGCTTCCAGTGTGGCAGAGAGAACATTCAAATATCAGCTCTGTCTTTCCTGACACCAAATTTACTTAATAAAGATACAAAAAGCATCTACGAACACACAGCTTTTTGCTGCCATCAAGTATATTAAAAATTGTCCTAAACATGCAATTATTCCATATAATGCCCTATGGCCATATCATTTTGTGAAATCATCCACGCTCCTTCAAGTGGTTTTAGCTCTTAAAATCGATTTTTAAAATAATATCAGCTTAGAAAGCAGCATTTGCCAGCAGATATTAACATACTCAAGCCCTGTTGAATTCACATTTTATCATCATCTTGTTGTTTACAAATTTTCCTGTCATTCATCACTGCAAATCATCAGCTGCACTTGTGGCTGAAGAAAACACTAACTCAGAAGGCAGAGATGAGTGCAAATGCATTAATCAGAGATCATGATTTTTCTACCAGGAATGTTATGCTCTCAGACACCTATAATTAGACATATCCAGTACCTGTAATCGTCTCAGCTATTCAAAATATTATGGGGACTGCTCAGTGTGGGTAGGAATGCAGTGAATTAACAATACAAAGCAAAAACACAGGTGAAGCAAAGTATTTTTAGACTTGGGTTATAAAAACACATTTCTGTTCTAGATTTCTAAGAAAATAACCTACAAACAAATATTTCTGTACAAAACACTGGCAGCCTAAATAGTGAGACCTGATGTGTGAGCAGCATGAAATCCCTGGGCTTTCCCCAGTTTGGGGGGATGGAAGGAAGCAGAGGACAGGACAAATTCCTTTTTTTTTTTCCCCTTTTCTTTTTTTTATTCAACTCAGTAACCTTTTAGTAAAAGGGAAAAGAATTGTCAGCCTGAGATTTCCAGCACTCTGTAGCGCTTTCAGCCATGCTCTGCACAAAAGGGAACAGCAGGCGAGACCATCCTGCTCTGACTGCTTCATGAAGCTCAAACATAAGCCACAACCACACATTCAGTAATCTACATAGTTTATTTTCTGTTTTAATTGTGTACTTTTAATTTGGTCAAGTTACAGCCAAAGTCCAACTGGGTTTCAGAGCCCCCTCAAGGATCAAACCCTGACATCAGTTTCAATACCAAAAGAGCAATCATTACCTTGAATTAACCAGTATTTTCAGGATTGCCAGAATATAAAAGGGCATATTTTCAGTTAAAAATTCTTGAAAGCAACCTCTAATATTCATCAGAAAAGATATTTTAGAATTTAAGGGGAAAGAACACTGGCAACACTTGCTGGATGACCTCTGGATGAGCACAAGCTGGCAGATGCTGCTTGAGGTAGAATATAAAAATGAATGAAGTGAATGCAGACGTTGTTTGGAGCTGGGTCTGATGGCACAGGGGGGCTGCAGAGACTCCATTCTGCTTTTCCACACAAAATCGCTGAGCACAAACCAGCCCAGACATCTCAGAGAGCCTCAGCTCTCCCTGTGTGAGCCTACAGCACTGAGGAAAAGAGAACAAGCAGCAGAATGCTGCAAGCCCATCTCGAGATCAGTGACACAACTCTTGTCCCTGAGGTTTGGGAGTCAAGCTGGACTTGGAGGTGACTTGAGACAGGGCAAGACTCACCAAGTCAGTGACTGTTGCAGGACTGAGGAGACCAGGAGATAGTCAGTTTGTTGTTTGTATGGGTGTTATCAGAGAGAGTCCTGGCTCGCCCCCGACACTCTCCTGAAACCCAAACACAGAGCTGAAGTGAAATGTAAAACAGTTAATCCATCATCTCTGAAGTCATCCTACTTATTTGAGCTGTATTCCAAAAACTTCATTTTTTATACCATTCTTCTGCTCAACTTTTGAGCTGCTTACCCATCCCTCAGCTGCCAGCATTTATCATTCCTGCTTCTCAATCCATTCTTTACCCTCAAACCCTCACTACAATTCCTTTCCTTCCATTTTCAAGACTTGCTACCTTCCCCTGAATATTCTCCCTTAAGTGCATCCTCCTTATCTCACATTTTCTTTTTCACTCAGCCTGCTACTGTCCCTGCTCCACTTTAAGTGCTCTTATTAAGAACTTCAAAGATCAGTTTCAAAAAGCCAATTCCCAAGCCACAACATACCCAAAAACCAGTCCTGCTTTACTTACAAACACTGTACCACCATCAAATATTGTAGCCCATAATACATTTCCTGTGATTATCCACAGGAAGGCAGGCAAGAATGTTCCAAGCATTTATTTAAATAGAAATAATGATTACTTTTCCCTGGAAACAAGAGCTTACTTCAAATAAAAGTCTCTCATGCTTTAAAAGGGAACTAGGGAAAACTTGGAGCTTTGTGGAGAATCTCTCCAAGCTCCTGTTAAGGCTTCTCAGGTGGTTGAAGCACTTCTGAATGAATTATTTTTTCCCCCCATAATGATAATTTTCCCAGAACTTGCTCCCTTGGAAGTTTGCTGCTCCAGGCCAAGACCTTTCCCTCCTCCTGAGCAGAGCCAAGCAAATGCTAAATGGGCACAAAATCCTGAGGATTTGGCATTTTAGTGGCTGCTGGCACCTTTATTCTGCTGTTCCCAGGTGATTCTGGGACCACAGGTGCCTCGAGTTTGCTGTTCCCACCTGCATTTGCTATCACAGGTCCCTTGAGTCTACAATTTTTAAATGCATCTGCTACTGGCATTGTTCCAGAACAGGAGCCTTGGTGTTTTTAATTCCCTAAGTTATTAAAGCCAGTTGTTTCCCAGTTATGAAAACACACACAGCTGCCCAAACTCTGAAGCAAGAGTTTTTAATTTTCTAAAGGAAAATTAAAGAAGGATCTGCAGCTAATTAACACTCCACGAGGTCTCATTGCCCTCAGCAGCCTCTCAGAAATAGAAACAAATCCTGAGGGGGCAGGACACCTTAAACCTAACCAGCCTCCTGGGGACCACCCAGAACATCTCCCTTGTAGTTACATGTCAAATAAAACATATTTATATCTATTTCCAGCTGCAGCACCACCTCCCCTGCCTGCAGTCCTCATGCCAAGGACCTCCCACCACCCAAATTCCAGGGACTGGGATGAAGTATCCTCATCCCCTCCTGGGGCCAAGGGGGCCATGCATGGGCACAAGTGGCCACAGACTTGCCAAGGGTCATGGGAATGTGGCAAAATGTGGAATATGTTAAAGTTTTCACAGGAAAGCATGCTTTTGATGTTTGATAATTATATATTTTCAAGCTTAATCAACAGATAAGAGCTGATAACCAAACTCATGAATTAGAAAAAAAAAAAAACCCCAACCAAATTACTAGTGGGTAGAATTGCCTTGTTAAGTTTAGAGCTTGACATGTTCCAGTGATCTCAGGCTTAGGGAGAGGTTAACAAAGCTTGGGGAAAATGGATGCCCACTGTTAGTGGACACAAAGAATGCAGAATTTATGGGTCATCTGGCAGAACTCCCAAGATAAGGAAGAAATGAATAAACCCCACTCAGCAACTGTGCTGGAATTAGCTCTGACATCTCCCTGTGCACCAGGGCAGAGCTGCCAGGGGGTTCATCCTGCAGAACCCACACAGGGGACACAGGAGGCAGCTGCTGGTTTCTCCAAGCTTGAAAGTCACCTCTAGGGAAGGATTTTCTCGTCTTTCTTTCAGCTAAGGATCAACCTGGGGTATCCCCCTGTCTCAAACAGGGACACCAGAGCTGTGGCCAAAGGACATGGCCATAAATGTGTTTTTCCTTTAGATCAAGAGAATTTCACAACACTGATGGAGGGCCCAGTAGTTAAAGCACTGGGAAGGAGAAGACCTGAATGTAATTATAACAGTAAGGACACTGCTAATCAGTGTTTCAATTAGCTAAAGATAATCCTTGGCTGCTCTCCCATGTGGCAGCTTGGGATACAGGACAGAGCAACCCCAACCCCCTGGTGCTGCTCAGCCCTTGAGAAAACCCATCAAACCTCGCTCCTCCCACAGCTGTTTTCAGTAAAAGCCTTTAAAACTCCCCTCAAAGCTTGTCAAACAGGCTGTAAAAGCAAACTCGAGATGAATTTAATACTGTACCTATTCAGCCCTAAAATACAGGGCCGATCAGCAGCAATAGCACATTATTTGAGGTATATGATTTCCAGCAGATTGGGTTTTTAGCCTGTCAAGATCACTCCAACCATCTGAATCCTGCGAGTTCTCTAAAGGGACAAGGTATCTGAAAACATCTCCTCACTCCCTGTCTTTCCTCTGAGCTCTGAAAAATCACCCTTGCTATCATTTCCCTGCATTTTCATCTGTCCAAATCTGTTTTGTTATTATAACTTTTGATTTAGAGGGATGTGACCAGACAGGAGAAGTGGGGAGCCACAGTGGGGCTCCAGAGGCTGCAGGAGAAAGCAGGGGGGTATTTGCAGCTGGGCAGGTTCCCCCCACCTCATTTTCTTTTCTGGCTTTACATTTTCTACAGGCTGATTTTTACCCTCAAATCTCATGCATTGCTCTGCTTTTCTTTTCAGGAAAAACTTCTCAGGCACACAGTGGTCGAGGCCAGAGGTGCTCACCCACTGACCTGCTAAACTGGGGAGCTGGAAATGCAATTTCTGCTACTTTTCTCATTGGATGCAGTTTAATCATAGATGTTTCCAGCTGAAAGGAAATATTCTGACACACAGTGTTTGAGACAGCCACGAGAAATATCACAATTTGGTAACAGTGACCCTGTGAGCACCTGCTGGTTTTGGACGTGGGCACACAGGAATGATTTCAACTGAAATATTGGAGAAAGAACCAATTTCAATGAATTCCCTAATACAAATGATGACATCTCATCTGGAACTGGGACTTCAGCTGGGGCAACCTTTGCAGCAGGGTGGAACCTGCTGGGGCTCTGGCTCCTGGAGAGGGGGAGCCCAGCCGAGACACATCACCCCTGCAGCCTCTGGAGCTGTGAGTCCATGCAGGAGCTGTGAGGAGCGGGTGGGCACACAGGAGCCATCCCACAACCCCACCCTGCAGCCTCTGGAATTGTGCCCAAGACTCACTCTGCTTCCCTGGCAGATCTGTTTTTAATGGCTTTGAAAGAACCAAAGTGCCACCCGTGTTAGGATGTTCAGGAGCCTGGAAGGGCGCTGAGGGGATGGAGGGGATGTGTCCTCCTGAGGCTGGACACTCCCTGTCCCTTCCTGCCATTTGTCCCCCATCCCAGTGGCACCTGCACCCCAAGGGCAGCCTGCAAACCTTGGGGCAAGGCTCTTGCACAGATCACCATGTCTGTCTCCAGGCTCCTTGCAATTTGTTTCTCCCAAAATTTTTCCCATGGGGAGCCCACCCTGCAAGCTCCTTCCTGGCAAGGAGTTCCCTCTGGAATTCAGAGAGGAGCACGTGCCTGTGCCTGGCTCCTCAGTGCCATGTCCACAGAAATGAGCTCCCTCTAAGATACAGGGGGATGTATTACTCAGAAAGAAACAGAAAATATCCCAAAAGATGGATTTATAGGTTTATGGTTTTGGAGACACTCCCCCTCTTTTCCTCCCGCAGCCTGTGGGGGTTCAGAGCTGAGCTGGGTGGGATCTCCCAGCTCTTCCCTTCCTCAGCTCCATTTCTCCTCCACCCTATTCATCTCTAGTCCCATTTCCAAGCAATACTCCAATAACAACAGGTCTGCATTTGTTTCTTTTTTCCTTCTGTGTCATTTCTCCATCCAGCTTACAATTTTGGCGGCAATTTAACAGCCTTTACAAATTACATTCCTATCTTTTTCACTGTTATTGTTAGAGCAGAAAGTCCCATTTTTCACTGTGATCCTTCAGGTTTCTGCTGTCACTGTATTTAAGACTTTTTTTTTTCTTTTTTTGTCCTTAGCTTTTATTTTCTTATCCCTCAAGGGCAGCCTTGGAAATTCAAAGCTGTTCACTGCCTATCAGCAGATCTGGTATTCTCTTTTGGCAGTTCCACAGTGACTGTCTCCCTTCCTTCCAACCTTCCACCTAAATGACACCTTTTCTCAATAAATTACCCTTTGTCTCTCGGAGCAACGCTTCCATTTGTGACAGTTTGGATGTGTAATAGTTGCATCCCAGTGGATACCTCCAGGACCATCAGCTAACAGGCCAATACAAACCCACTGGTGCAGAAAATAAAGAGATTTATGTATTTTGGGCTTTATTTCTCCCCCTGGTAGTCGAGCTGTGCTCTGCATTTTCCAAGTTTCGGTTTAAAGGTATGGTTGTTCCTTGCCAAAAAAAACAACCCTCTCCAGGATTGGAGGGATGGCTGAACTCACAGAATTCCCTTTTTTTGTGACATGACATCCCTTGGGATCCCTGGAAAATGCCTTGGAGCAGCCAAACCCACCCAGCCATGCCTCCCCACACCGGTGCAGGGCTTCATGGATTGTTTGTGTTACAGAGGAAACATTGATTTCTGCAAGCATTTCCTAACAATAACAGCAGGGATCGATTTGTGATGCTGTTGCTCACGGTTTTGCTAACGGAGGATAAATGTGTGGAGCAGCAGCTTTGAGGTGTCCCTCGGCTCCCTGTGGGAAAGGAGAGCTCCTGGGGGGACACACTCACACCCAGCAGTGCTGGAGGAGGGATGCAGCAGATAAATCTTGAGAAATTTGGATGCTTCCATCAGATGACAATGGAGATATCCAAACCCGTGGCTGGCAGCAACCCCATCCTCCCTGTCTCCTGCAAGCTGCCCAACAGCAACAGATTGAACATTTTTATAGAAGTTGTCAAGATCCAGCCCTTGGCTTTAGCAGCCTGGGACTTTCTTCTCGCAGCCCTGCACCTTCTGTCTCCTTTCCAAACACCAGACAAGCCAGACATTATTTTCCAATCCCAGCATCTGGCACAGAGCTCTGGGCAAGCCTCTCAGCCTGTCGCTGGTGAGATAAATGAGCCTGTTTCAGTGGCCGACATCATAAAAGTATATGAAAAGTAGTTAACAAAAGGGTACTCCACAAAGAGGGGAATGCAAATGCAACCTCCTAGATAACTAATTAACTGAAGGAGGCAGACAAAGGGGAAGCAGCTTCCCATCTGTGGAAAGAGATGTCATTTTCTAGAGGCTCTAATTAGTTCTGCCCCGTCCCGCAGCCATTCAGTTGCGGTGCTCACAGGCTGCTCCTGCTCTGCAGCTCCCTGAGCTCTCCAGGTGAACAGGGAGAGAGCAAAGCTGGGGGAAAAGCTGCTTCACCTTGCTAAAGTCTCCACAAGAGCCGTGTTTTCAGCAGGGACCCAAGCAAACAAAGCTGGGGTTGTTTTTTGGAGGTGGCCTGCAGAGCCATCCAGTGCTGGCCACAAAGAGATCACAGAATCACAGAACAACTCAGGCTGGAAAAGACCTCGAAGATCATCGAGTCCAACTATTAATCCAGCATTGCCCGGTCCACCAGTAAACCCAGCTCTTCCATGGAGAGGGATTTCTTTCAGCTTGCTGTGGATGCCCCATCCCTGGAAGGTTGGTTTGGGCAGGGCTTGGAGGAACTGGTCTAGTCCTAGTCCTGCCCAAGGTGTCCCTGCCCATGGCAGGGCGGGTTGAACTCGATAATCTTTATATTCCCTTCCCACCCAAACCATTGTCTGATTTCCCCGCCTCCTCAAAGCTTTCTAGCCAATTTTGGGCACGAGCATTAGGTTTTGCTACACTCCCAGCTTCGGGCTGTACCCCTGCTTTGGACTAAGGCACAGCTCACATGGATGTGCTCTCCAGGGAATGTGGCAGCTGGAGGGAGCACTCTGGGGTCCATCCCCACTGAGCCACCACCCCCATCTGCCCTTTCCAAGCTGTTCTCTTGCAACATCCAGCTTTTCTTTTGCTCCTCCGCCTGCGAGGGTCCCTTTGCAGCCCCCAGGCTGCACGAGCTCAGCAGGGTGAACGCTGAACAGGGCGTACCACGGGAATTAGTCACCACTGGGACCTCAGTCAAGTGTTTCATTTAATGCCCTTTTCCAAAGACATTTGTACTTGAAAAAACCTGAAGAATTATGAGCTTGCTGCTAGCAGACGTGACTCAGAGGAGTGGTGGGCACACGCCACTAAAGTGAGAAGTGTCTTTGCAGCGTGGGTGAGGAGGGGAGAGGGGCTGCTGACAAAGTGAGTTTTGCAGGGAAGAACACCCAAATGGCTTCAGTTTCTGCTGCCAAGATCTTTGCTACAGCAGGAGTGGCTCAGATCACTGATGGGGAGAGCCCACCAGTGCTCTTGGGGGCCTGGCCAAGGTCTGATGTCCCCTGGTCCCAACCACCAGAACAGCCCTGGCATTCAGTGCATGGAGCAAATCCGTGCCCAAAACATGGAGCAGGACATTGCTCTGCTACCAAAGGCCACACTGTCCCTCACGGTGCTGTTCTGCCCCTGTGAATGCCAGGAACTCGCTCAGCAAGAAGTTCATGGGACATTGCCAATCCCCTGGAGCTGGCTTTGCACACAACCTGCCTTTGGCACAGGCATTACCTGTGACTTGCCTGGTGCACAGGCTTGTGCAAGGAGCACCAAGAGCACAGATATGTGGGGGATGCCCAAGTCCCTGTGACAACCATGGCAGGTGGCTGTGGGGACATCACAGGAGCTGGGAGGTTTACAGGAAAAAAAAGATAATTGAGTTGTCCCTTCTCAACACATCATTTCCACCTGCATCCAGCACTGGTGTCTCTGGAAATTAACAGACTGGGCATTGCCAGCAGCCAGGAGATGCTGTGCAGAGGGAGGGGGACCAGAAATAAAGTTCATAGGGACACAAGCCTTGAACTTTCTCTGGACTGACTTCTAGTGCATTACTGGAATGGTGGGGATTGGCTGCCAAGCGGAGGCATTTGGAAATCCTCCCAGCTCTTTCCCAAAGTGGACGAGAAGGAGGAGTTGCCTGAGCCTGGCTGGGTTCCTCCAACCCCTGTGAGGCCCCCGAGGGACCGGCTGGGAGAGGGGACCTGTGGGACCCGGATGGTTGGGACAGGAACGGTGACTTTGCACAATGCTGTGCCTCAGTGACTCGTGACACTGCAGCAGCTGGCAGAGGCTCTCTGGAGCTGGCTGCACCCGGGTATTATTAGACCCAATGGTTTTATTTCTGCTCCAGCCAAAGTTCAGCTGCTGCAGTTTGAGCCCTGATGCTGTGATGGGTGCTGGATGCAGCCTGTCCCTCCAGAAACCCTTGGTGCTGACAGTCACCATGCCATGCAGCTTCCTGCAGCTGGGGTATTTCCTAATCCTCCTTTTGTTATCACTAAAAAAAACAAGAAAAGCAATGACCATAAATGATACTAAGCCAGGGCATGCAGGGCACCAGCTCTGCCAGATGATATAACCCTCCTTATTTACATGCCCTAGGGAAATTTCCTCCCCACTTTGCAAAGCTTGAGCTCTCAGAAATCCCTTTGCTGCTTTCCTACCAGGGAGGCTGGGGGAATGAAATAAGAGCCTGCAGATCATCTGTATCAAGCTGCAGCACATCCCTCTTCTCCTCTGAGGTCAAGCACCATCTCCCCCTGCGACTGGGCTGGGCTTGCAGGGGAGGGGAGCAGGGAAGAAGCAGGGCCAGGAATTGGCAAGGGAAAGCAGCTGGGCAAAGTGGGCATTGCCAGGAGTCCAGAGAGGCAGGGGATCCCTCTGTGCCATCCCAGCATCTGTTGGGATGGGGGGCATTTATCCGAGGCGCTGTGTGGCAGTTCCAGGCAGGCACAGAGCCTGATCCTTGGAGCTGCCCTGAGCTTCCCCCAGCGCAGCACTGGGGAGGAGAAATGGAAACACAGAGGGAAAGCCACTTCCATTAACACCATTCCTGCCAGGCCCAGGGAGGCTGGGGCTTTGTCAGATGGTGTTATCACCATGACTTCGCTGTTTCCGAACACTGAAGAGATTCCTCCCAAAAGCGCAACCGCCCCCTCACCCGCTTCCCTTTCAATCCCCAGCTATTTTTATTTCACTCCTTGAGATAAAGGTACACGTGTGGGGGAGGTATTTACACACACACGAGAAAGTATCCATGCACATAAAAATAACCTGATGATTTGAGAAAGACATTTCTCTTCCACAGAGCTCTCTGTTCCCCGTTCCATTATAAACAGAAAATGCTGGAGTTATTGAGGCTTGTGGGAGGTTCAGCATTGCTCTCAGCGTGGATGCAGAGAACATTCTGCTCATGCACAGGGTCTGCAGCTGGGGGAAACAGGCACTGGGTATGTGCTCAAGGGGAAGAAAAAGTGAGATTTTTGTGTTCTTAAGAAGTTTATGGCTCACTGTGAAGCAGATACTGCAGAGATTAATTCCTACAGAAACCCTCCTATATCCTTATTTCATTCATGACACATTTCCAGATGTGTAAGTGCCTGTCTTCACATTGCCTTCATGTTTGAAATACCTTTTTTCAAGGGAACAAGGGAGGAGAAAGATAAGCACCCAGTGCCTCCAGCTAGGAGCTGATGCTGCCTGCTCTGGGAGCTCAGCTGTGCCCAGGTTTGGGGGCGATGCAGTATCTACCCATCCCATGGGGTGGGCAGCCCAGGGGCTCACACACCTGCAGCTCCCCCTGCACACCCCATGGGATGCATTTAGCATCCCCTGACCCCCAAATTTGGGATCCCTTGGGCAAGGCCACCCTCTGAGCAGCACCTGGATTGAGGAGGGAGCGAGCTGACACAGCGAGGCGGGCAGGCCCAGCCTGGCTCAGGGAAGCATCTCTGCCACAACAAGACGTCTCCTGAGCCCTGGGGCCGTGCTCTCGGTGTCC